TTTTTGAAAATGATAATGATGATCATATCGAATTGATTAATTTTACAGCAGATAGTTTTGATTTAATTAAATCGGTTAGAAAAAATGTTTCTATAGATAAAATTGTCATTCGTAAGAATAAAAATGTATATAGACTTATTCTCTATTAGTATCTGTTTAGTTTAATACCGAACAGATTTTTCTCAGAGTATTTCCTTCTAATAAATTTATTATTTAAAATGCAACAAACTATTTTTCTATATTGTTTATTACTTTCATTTATCTTTTTCTTTTTGGTTTTGAAAAAGGCCACAAAGAAAACAAAGATAATTGTTTTTACTGGAACTATCGGTGTTGGCAAGACAACTTGTGCTAAATTATTCGAATCTTTCATTAAAACAAAAGGATTTACTGTAAAACGTTACCAAGAAATTTTATTGCAAGTTAACGAAGAATTTCATATATTCAATAAAGACAAACCAAAGAATTTTCTTTTTTTCCAATACGTTTTGCTACATCACTTTAAACAACAAATTTACGAAATTAAAAAGAATAATTTTAGTTTTTTATGGTTCTTATGGAAGGTCGATTATATTATTCTCGATCGTACTCAGAAGGATATGAAGATGTTCAATAAATTTTTCCAAGATTCGAGCGAGAAAGAATATATTGACAGAAAAGTTGATGAAATCGAACCACTTGACTTCTATAAGGTTGTTTTTGTGACTGCTCCAATCAAAATGTCTATTGAACGGCAGCAAAAGAGAGCTCGTTTAGGTAAATTGGTCGAAAGGGAGTATTTAGAAATGCTTAATGCTTATTACCTTGAAGATATTAATTTGGTTTATCCTGAGAATTTAAAATTTGAAAATATTGTTAATCTTTGTGGTGGTGATGATTGCGCACAATGTCTCGGTATTAAGATCTACGAGAGTTTCTTTGATACTCTTTTATAGCTCTTTTTTTTTTTTTATTATCAATTATATTATTTGTCATTAAATTATTCAACTAGTGATAACCGGTTGAACCTTTAACTATGTAAAAAAATGAATTCTTCAAATATCAACGATCTACCAAACGAAATTCTAATTCTAATATTATACCATATTTTTCAAACAAAAATAACCTTATCCGATTTACCAACCACTCTATCGATCAAATTAGTTTGTAAACAATGGTACGATTGTTATCATTCGTTATTCAAGACTCACGGAATCAAATATATTTTAATGCCCAATACACATACAATTGAAGATTATACTCCTATCAAAAAATCAGAATATTATTTTAAAATTGATGGAACGTTAGTTATAGAAAATAACGCTTCAATACAAACAAGACTACAAACTTATGAAGAATATGAGCTTTCTAAAAAAAAATGTGAACGATGTTTAGAAAAACAAATTATTTTTAAGTATGGCTTTTGGTTCAAAGAAAAACTTGATTGTAAAGTGCCAAAATGTAAAAGAAGAAATCGAAGTCATCATAATCATGAGATTTGCAAGAAATGTTATGAAATTTATGAAATTTATTCTTCAAGTTTTGACGATTTGGTTTTTTTT